GCTACTAGGGGCTCCTGGCATCACTACTAGGAACAATGTTCGCTACTAGGGGCTCCTGGCTTCGCTACTAGGAACAATGTTCGCTACTAGGGGCTCCCGGCCTTACTACTAGTAACAATGTTTGCTACCAGGGGCTCCTGGCCTTACTAGGGCTCCTGGCCTTACTACTAGTAACAATGTTCGCTACTAGTAACAAAGGGCATCGCTACTAGGAGCACTCAGGAGCTTCCTTGAAGAACCGCTTTTGGCATCCCTTTCAGCTTCCTCTTAGCGGCACTTACTACGAGTATGGCAGCGACATTGCTACATGTACGACCTTACTCTCCCTCCTCTCCACGACCGACCTTAATGGCCTTACACACCCGGTCTGTAAAGCATGTTAAAGCGTATTAAACATGACTCACTTAGTCTGACTCTTGTGCCTGTCCCTGTTCTCAGGAGTCTGAAGCAATCTTGGAGGTGCTCTCCTCACGCCGATTTGCTCACATGGGCGGATGGACTGCAGATCAGGTGGCCGACGAAGTCAAGAAACTGGGCTATCAGGCAGTGACGGTGATCTCGGAATCGCCAATCTATAGCTCCATTGGGACGAAGAGTATCAAAGTAAAGGTGGGAGCCGGCTTTGCCGTGCCTTCTGCCAGTCCTGTATCTGACTGCGTTTTTTCCGAAACGCTGGACATTTGGGTTATAGTTGTGTGACATCTGAGAGGGACATGTCTCACACCAGCCGCGTTTGAAGACACTACCGCGAGCACCAAACAAAGGAGTGCACCAGAATGGCCGGCCAGTGGCAAATGTGTATATTTGCTTGACTTGTGCTCGCAATTTGCTTGTATGGCACTCCCGTCGAGCAGAGAAAAAGGCGAGTTAACATCAATGGGTTCACTGGGACCGACCCAAGTGTATGTATATATATATATATATATATTGTGGATTGGGGGTTTCCCAATCACACACTGGTAGCCACTGGCCTTTCCAAGGCCTCCACAACAAAGTTCTCCTGCGCTCCCCGGCGCTCAGCTTCTTTTCCACCTGGCCTCAGGTCCAGCTCCGTCCACCTAAGGACGACGACTTCCAACCATGCACCGCCGGATGCGATCTGAGCCCCCTGACTTGAGGCGGCGGTTCGAACGACAGGCTGGACAGGCTTCAAGCATTGGAACACATTCTGCAAATCACACTCCTAAAAAAGTCTAATTATTTTTTTTGGATTCATTGTGTGGAGGACGAGTCTTGAATCCATTGGTTGCGAAGTTTCTTGTCAGCTCGCTGTTGAAGTACCACATCTATATCGTGAATCCGGCAACAGCCTTGCTCCAACAACAGACGCAATGGGGTGGCGTCCATGTTTTTGTTAATGCATCAGCCATCTGAGCGGCTGAGTGAACCCATTTCACTGCAACTCCTTCACTCAGGCGACTTTTTATGATTAGAGCCTCAAGTGTGGTACGATACTCTGAACACTGTGGAATTGAAGTCTTCTGCAACAAATCATACAGTGATTTACAGTCAACAATCGCGAATGCTTTAGGAATCTGTGAGTATACCTGTTCAGGCTTTTGCCAATTTAGCGAGGGACATATCAGCCACGCCCAGTGGATGCGCAACCACCCAAGCAAGTCCACAGCTCCCGACAGGGCATACGTTTCAGAGGCCAAGGTACTTCCTACAACTCGGCTGATTTTCTTGGAGTACCAAGCAAGAGCACTGATCGGGGCGGAAACATCATGATCTATTTGATCACTGGTTGTTAGAACCAGGCAACCTTTCTGTGAATGAGCCTTTTCCCTTGAGGCGAATGCTGCATCAGAGAAAGTTGCAAATCGGATTTTCTGGATTGGAATGGTTCGGTATTTGATACTGACATTGCTATGCTTTTTGGCTTCCATCAACAATCTGTTTCCTTCAAGAAGATCCTCCACGGTGGCCGTGGGGATTTTAGCTTGCAACAAACTGAGTCGGCAGGCAATATCAGGACGTGTATTAGTCGCTGCATATTGTAAACTTCCTATCAAACCCCGAAAAGATTGAAGTTCAGGTGGTAGAACGGGATTCTTGGGATCGGCTCTACGATCCTTTGAGACCTGGATTGGTGGGATGTCTTGGATGTATTCCTTTTGATCAACTTGAATTTCTCCATTTGCCATTTGGTGAATATGCAGACCGGTAAAAATCATATCGCGTTTTCTATGGCTACCAAAGGGAAACTTGGCTTCAAGGCATTTGAGCTTCTTGTGGAATTCTTGGTCTCCTCCTCCGATGCCGTCATCTACATGGATGCCAATGATTCCATGGATGTCTGTCGTGGCAACTTCTGTCCGAGTTTTGACCTCCCTGGGCAAGACGAAGACACAAGGGTCGAAAGGTGACATGATGAATCCTAGATCCAAAAGGGTAGCCTTCAACTCGCTATACCACAACAGAGGGGCATTCACCAACCCGTATGCAGACTTTAGAAGTTCACACACTTCATGGTCCTGAAGCTTGAGTTTGGCCCTCATTTCAACTGGGGGTTCAATACCTAGAACTCGGTTGTCTTGTCGAGTTCCTCGAAGAAATGCCGTTCGGATATCGAACGAGTTGACTTCCCATCTTGCACTGGCAAGGAGCTGTAGTATAAGGGCACGGCTGTCCCGGCTCAAAGTGGGAGCGTCCCGATCAAGCTTTTTTACATCGGGGTCTTGGAATCCGAGGATGACTAAGCGAGCTTTCGCTTTCCGACACTTACCCAATTCAGCTTGCTCTTGTGCATCGAGGGGTTTCCATGTTAACACCCATCTGGTTTTGAGAATCTGTTCTTCCGGAATCTTGTGACGTGCGATACGACGAACAGTTTCTGTGGCTAGCCATGAATCAATTTCTTTACGTTTTGCTGCCATCATTTCCTCGTACTCTTGACCCTTGAGGTCCTGCATGTTGATTTCTACTTTTTGGCGCTTGGCTTGCGAGGCCAAGTAAATCGCTTGGTCCAGACCTTGCTTGGAGCAGCATTGGTCAATCTCAGTGGTGCTCAAAACAATCTCCATGGCAAAGCAGTGTGCCCATTCTTGTTCTGGTATTGTTTGAAGGGCATATATTTCAGGGAGATTCTCTTCATCATCAACAATTAGTTCATCGTCGTCCTTTTCAGGGACGGGCACACAACTTGGATCCACTGGCATGGAAGGACCTCCGGAATCATCTACACTCATCGGTCGCGAGTTCGTGCTCTGGGCATTGTCCGGCTCTGCGTCAGGTTGGGCTTCGGACCGCACGCTCGCAGGCATGTTTGCGGGATGATGTGGCTCATCAGTACTTATGATTATTGGGGTTATGCTCGAGAGTTGACTGGTTCCTGTGTGAGATGCGGATGACGGTTCTACGAAATCTGGTGGTGTCTCGGACAATTGATGATATTGAAAGACACCAGTTCCAGGGACTGGAGGTGGTTCCCTGGGATCATCCCTTTTGAGTAAACCTGTTTCCCTATCTGACAGTGTTCTGACATGTTCGGGTGCACAACGAAGAAGTCTGGTGAGATGACTCAACCAGATGACATTGTTTCCATCCAACATGAGGACTCGAGCGGGGCCATTCCATCGGTTGTTCTTCCAGTACATAGTCCAGTCTCCAACCTGGTGCACATTCCTGTTGGGTCGGCTTCGGCCATACAATGCTCGACGAAGCTCACTACAGTGATCCGCTTTCACAAAAGCAGTCCTGGCAGCCTCTCGTAGGGCTAGTTGTTGCGCAAAACGATGGCTTTCTGTCTGAAGGGCGGATATGTTTGAACTATTCTCCAAATCATCACATACACTTCCAGGCAGACGTCTACTTTTCCCCAGGACTAAAAGTTCAGGGGTGTATCCTCGGACCCTTGACATGGAATTCTTGGCATTGCAACACTGGATGAGACTTTGTTCGAATGCTTCGTGTGTGTGGAATGGTTTGTCTATATACAGTTTATCTAGCATACGCTGCAATATGGCACCATGCCTCTCAGCTCTGCCTAACTGCCAATGACCATCTGTGGGGATGACATAACTTGTGATTCCAAGTTCTTGCAAGTACTGAGCAAATCCTTCGCTGTTGGATTCGGTGGCACTATCAAACATGAGACTCTTAGGCGGTCCCGCCCATGACAACCAAGCAGTTTGAAAGCAATGAATCAAGGAACTTGTGGTTCGTATGTGATATGGTATAGCCATTTGGAAGTTGGTTGCTGTGTCTACGAAATGGTAGAAGCAATATTGTTTTCCTTGAGGGTCCTTCCATTCAACTCCATCAAATTGCACCATATCATTAAAATCCCGAGCTTCATGCAGGTGTCCTGGTCTGGACGCTTTCGGCAGTGACACTTCATGACATGTGTCACATGACATGTCCCGAACCGCTTGCTGTATGGTCGGTGACCAACCATGGTCGTGCAGCGCCCGTCCGAATTGCTCAGCGTTTGGATGTCCTAGATTTTTATGCATGCGGATGATCTGTGTTTGAATGCTCACGGGAAGTGCACGAAACATGGGGCCATGCATTGGCTTCGGCATGGCGGGGACATTTGGTAGATCCCCATCAGCAGCATCAGGAGAATCCAAGACTGGTTTCCCATCTGTTGGCGTGGACTCTACTGTGCCTTCTTCAGACTCTGGACGGTTAGATTCAGGCAGTCGGTCAATTTCTTCGGTTTCTCTGTTAGACACTTTGGGATGAGCAAAAACTGTGATAGCAATTCGTGCTGGAGTTCCACTACGGATCTTTTGTCGATGAGACATATTCGAAAGGTTTTCCCATTCTTGGTCGGAAAAGAATTGCATAAGCTTTCGTTCTCGGCCGAATGTCCAACGATGAGTCCCCTTACCGGCAGGAAAATCCATGGTTCGTAATCGATCTACTCCCTTGCACAGTTCAATGGCTTGGACCTGCATGTTTGGAAATATGTTTTGGACGCTGTCAAAACATGGTCCTTCGGTGATGATTCTTTTGCCAACTCTGGGTGCCAGTTCTTCAAAACGGTGTAGCAAGGGCTCGAGTGCGGCTCGATTGTCCACTTTTCCGAGTGGCTCATACAAAGCGTCGGCTGGAGATTTCATGTTCAGGCGTCTCCTCTTGGAAGGATTGGTGTCTTCGACTTCTGCTGTATAAGCTGCATGACAGGCTACTGACAAACCGTGCTCATGATTTTCTTTCACTTGGAGACTACACTGGATGATTCTGCTTAAATGCTGTGCAAACCGTTTGGTGTAGTTTTCCGTGTAACTACTGACGGTTTGTCTTCCCTTACCTAGGGTTTTGCACGAACCAGCAATGGAGACATGTTGATGAGTGCCTGGACACTGCAAACGTTCCAGTCGACTGGCCAGGATCGCTGAGGTCGTCCAGACTTGCGTTCGCTTCCGAAGCAGCTCATGACTATTGGGGTGTCTCAGCTCACCTGCAACGCACATATCACAAAGAACCCTTTGGGTGCTTTCCATTACAGGCTGCATGTCTTTTTGGAACATGAGCTCGGATCCCTGGGGCTGCTCAAGATGAAAATGATAGTCCGGACCTCGCCATCGCTGCAAGCAGCACAGGGTAGAACACAGACGAAGGTGGATGCTCTCGGCTCGACGTTCGGTCAAAATGCGCTGTGCCAGTGCAACTGATTTCATGAGGTTGAGCCTGCTCCATGCACACCATGGTCCACACTTCGGTGACACCCAAATGTGTCTAGGTCTAAGCTTCCATATTTGATCATACAGCGCGCAACGACCCGCGAACGTTCCGAGATCGCCATGCTTGAGACCGAAGCGAGAAGCAACTAGTCCACCCAAGTTGGCTTGCATGGTCAGTTGACTATCATTGGAACAGTATACTTCGAGCAAATCAATTCCCTTATGATTGAGATGTCTCCGTTGCTCTTGGGCGTCCATGATTCCAAACTTCTTTCCCCAATACACCTGCATTTCCCGAAAGATCTCATTGGGGACAATTTCTTCTTGCATAAGCAGGTCTTGGAAGTATTGCGGATCCACTATGGTTTGGGTTTGTGTCTGTTGGACTTGATCTTTGCCCAGGGTGTCATACAGTTGTACTCGCTGAGGCACTCCTAAGGTCAGACACTCTGCTTGACTCTCAGTGGACGAATCTACTGGTCGGTCGGGTTGAGATGGCTCGTGACAAACTGCAGCTGTTGCACCATCTGACTGAGTGCTCCCTCGATCTGACTGATCCGCTGGTTCTGTTGAACTGACTCCTCGCGGATCATCTCCCAGTGACTGCTCTTCTGACTTGGCGAAGGTGACGAACTTGGTGTTCGATCTTGCCATTCTCGAGGAGACGTCATGATCGGTCGGCGACTCTTGGCCTTGGAGGCCGTTCCCAGCTGATTCTTGGGCTGAGTCTCTGGAGTCTTCCCCTTGGCCAGTTGCTGTTCGAGGCGATCGGTGTACAGGCTGACATAATGGATGAACTTTCGGTGAGGTCCCTTTGTGGAGTTCTTGTAAGTCGATGTGAACCATGCCGTATAGCGGGGGTCTTCCTGCACGACCTTCAGATAGGTCTGCCCCTTCTTCTCCTTGCCGAAGTCGATCTTGTGGTGGTCCAATTCCTCGACCTTCAGATGGAGGAACGCTTGCTCCTCGTGCTGTTCGGCACTCTGACGAGTCACCTGCTGGAATCGAAGACTGACATCGGAAGATTCGCTGGCCATGGCTGGGACTCGACGGCACGGTATCCGGGACCTGATGGATCACTCTCGAACCCGCACTTGACACCGCGGTGGACTCAACTGGCTCAACCAGACATCCTGAGTCGTTCGAGGAACCAAGTGTGTCCTCTGCATAAGAGCACTCTGGAAACGATCGAGACGGACAAATCGGTTTATCTAATTCGAGGTTGGTACTAGCTTTCGATTCATGGTGCATGCTGTGCAAAACAGTCTCGGAGGTGACTTCTGCAGCTGTTGGCTTTTTCGCACAAGCTCTGGACACGAGTCGGCAGAAGTCCAGGAGAAAGAGCTTCCTTTCGGTCAACGAGAGTGGCATAGATATGCCCAGCTTTGCAAAATGAATCGTGGCATGTTCGGTGTCGATCACAGCTCCGAGCTTACGAAACACATTATTTGAGATCAAGAACGGTGTTTGGGATGGCACTACACAAATCTTGACATACCTGTCGGCTAACGGTACTAGATAGGCGTAGGAGCATGTGACGGTGCTGTTGTTACCGAACCGAAAAACTGTGTGACAAGAAACTTTGCGGCTTCGCTTCATGGCATTTGGTGGCAGTTCTGTCAACAGGTGTTGGAGTTGTGCCTCACCTATCACAGTTTGACTTGCGCCTAAGTCTACTATGCCACATGGTCCATGATGTGCGAACAAGACCTCATGTGCCGTGGAGGGGCTCTGGTTGGCCCGGCATCGAGTGAGGTCAAGGCTTCTTTCCGTCAGGGCGCTTATCTTGGATCTCTCACGAGGCAGTGAACTGCGAAGGCTCTGAATTAGCCTTTGTGCTTGCTGTCGGAGTGGTTTCATGTCCGTGTTCAGGGAAACCCCGGCACTCATCCTATCCCCAAAATTCCCCTTTGGGGTTTGAGTGTCAACGCAAAAAACTGTCTGAACATCAGGACAGGCGGCCGGTTTTGGGACATCCGCTTCTGAAATCAAAATCATGTCATCGGCCTCGGTGTCACCATCCTCGTACTCGATCATCACATTTCCAGCGAAGGCTGTCGTCGCCGGAGTGGTTTTGGCTTCAGTTTCAAATCTCTTGGGGCATTCAGCCTTCCAGTGACCTCGTTGGCCACAGCGGCGGCATTCACTTTCCAAGATCCTCTGAGCCAATGGCTTGCGAAAGCCTTTGCCCTTGGTGAAGGTCGGGCTGAACTTTCCTTTTGGCTTTGACTTGCCACCAGGTGCGCCCTTGATGGGCCAGAAGCCTCGATTCTTCCCCTTCTCAATGATCCTTCGACGGGCTTCCAGGTACGTGTGGTAGCAGGAAGCGGTGTCAGGATCACTTTGGAGCACGTCGATGAGGCTGTCTTCAAACTGGCTCACTATCAAGGCATCTTGATCTTGATCATCCTGTGCCAGGAAGGTGGCTTCGGAGTTCCAATCGTCCCAGGCCTCATGAGCGAATGCCTCATCCTCATGAGGAGCTGCTGTCTGATCATCTTCATCGACCGCATTGACCGTCTCGTAGGTCTTGGTGCGGGTCGACGTCTTTGCATTTTGCAGCTCACCAAAGAACTTGGAACCGAGGAGCTTGAGCGAACTCACGACCTTGTCATACTCGAGGCGACCTTCAGAGTCCATGATGACTTTCTTTTTCTCCTCCATCAGAAGACCTGAGTTCCTCAGGAGGCAGTAGGCTCTCATTTCTTCCAAAGTCACATGGAGGCTGGCCAGCTCTTCGAACTGAAAGTCGTGACGGGCCAGGTAGGACTCGTGAGTTTCATCGCTTCTTTGGACCGTCGTGTAGATGGCTCGTTCGAAGCGCTCAAATTTCTCCTCATGCTTCGCTTTGCCCCATACTCCACCCAAGGTGGAGACAAGGAGCTTGATGCCCTCTAAGGAGTTTACCTTGAGCTTCTTGGCATCCAAACGCGTCAGGCGCTTGAAGGCGCTGCCCTCACACAACATGGCAGCTCTTGGAGCTAAGTGCGACAGGTGGTCACTCGGCCACAAATCGGCTATGAACTCCAGTCGCTTGGTGTATTCATTGATGTCCGTCTCACCTGGGCGAAAGGTTGGGATCATCTGCCATGGCAGGTGCGACAACGACGATGAGGACAGTTGTCCACTCGAGGACGGTGCACCATCTCCTTCAGGCATCCTGGATCTGCGATTTCCACTGAGCAGCTAAAAGGTCAGCTCAGTGATCGCTGGTAGCTCCGCTACCAATGTGGATTGGGGGTTTCCCAATCACACACTGGTAGCCACTGGCCTTTCCAAGGCCTCCACAACAAAGTTCTCCTGCGCTCCCCGGCGCTCAGCTTCTTTTCCACCTGGCCTCAGGTCCAGCTCCGTCCACCTAAGGACGACGACTTCCAACCATGCACCGCCGGATGCGATCTGAGCCCCCCTGACTTGAGGCGGCGGTTCGAACGACAGGCTGGACAGGCTTCAAGCATTGGAACACATTCTGCAAATCACAATATATATATATATACACACACCATCTTGATATAAGTCATTCTTTTTCCAATTGAATCAAGAAGTGTGTGTTTTGTTGTAAAAGTCGCCATCGACAACAGCAGTGACACTGCGTTCAAAAGAGTGCGCTTCACAGTAAAGCACCCCGCGTGGACGCAGGCTCTACCAGCACAGAGTCTGCAAGGGGGGAAGTGGGGCTCCCAGTTTTTCACCTGGCTCAGGGCTTGAGAGGCAGAAAAGACGGTAAAAGACTAGCGGAAAGTAAACGCGAAGGAAGTTGCCCTTGTTATAATATGCTCCTTGCTCGACTTTGGCCATGTTTCAAGCATCATAGCGGTGCCGACATCCACCAGCGGGACCGATGGTGCACCACACAGACATTTTGGACCCTGTCGCAGCTGGGACTTGGCAGGTGGATTCCGCATCAACCTGACCTGGCGATGGATCACCAAGCATCATAGAGACTGCAAAAACAGCCGATGGAGCACTGTGATCTGATTGGTTGAAGAGCCAAAGCCCAGGCTCGGCTACCCGACCTCACATGAAGTGTCGGGAAAGCTCCTGATGGTTGCATTTTACTTTACGGGATGATCAAGGTAGTTTCAGCATATTTTGACTGGGCAAGCGTGCAAGTTCGATGGCTGCCTCCACTCGTTGAGGCAAATGCATGCCCAGTTACATTTGTTTTGGCATCGTAGCTTGTTACACAAAGGTCATGGCTGGAAATGCGTAAAGTCACGGACAGACCTTTTGAGACCACGGAGGTGTCAGAATACTTCTTTGCTCCTCTGTTCAGGTCCTGCAGAGCGCAGTGCAGGACAAAAGAAAAGGAGCACTGCAGATGCGATCAGAGTTTCAAGCGGACAGCAGGTTTCCTGGCTCAATCCAATATGTAAATATTAAATATGTTCTTTGCAAGTGCTTTTAAATGAAGTTGCTAGATTCTGAGGCACATGATGCCGACTCAGTTGGTCCAGTTAGAATCCTTTTGTGGGCAAGAACCGGAGACATGCAACCAGTGCGAAGAACTTGCGAACATCTAGCTGCTCTTTACTTCACGCACTCGTGTAGAGTATAGATTACTCCTGGAAAACTCTCTTTCTGCACGGTATGTCAGGGCAAGGCGCGACTGCTGCGCTTTTATCATGATGTGCCAATGGACAGGCAGGTCCCATTGCTACTGCAGATCAAGCATCGATCAACCATGGATTGAGCTGTGCATGAGGCATCATTTAACCAATCTCGTTTCATGGGGGTAACTAGCATGATGTTGCCAATCCTTCGTTGGTAGTGACATGACATGCTTCAGCTCACAGGCAAAAGCACATCCTGCAAAGCATCTACCGACTCGGCCGAGCTGGTCTTGTTTACATATAGTACTATAACAACTTGTGACCACCGACTCACAGCTGACTTTTGAGATATGACGGTCCACATGTGTGATTTGAGCAAGGTTGCTTGTTGTCTTTGGTGCATTCAGATACACTTGTTAGTAGTTTTATGTTTCTTTTTAATACGGAGCAAGCACAGCCTGATCTCACCCAGCCGTTTGCACGGGTTTTCAGTTTTATGTTTTGCTTTTTGACATGCATTTGGAAGAGGACGGTTCCAGACGCAAGTCACTTGGGTTCATTAGCTCGCCTAGAAGTCTATCTCGATGCATCACTCGCTTGGCCTAGAAGTAAGGTGGGTCTGGGAGAGCATCCACCCGTTTTGGCTTGCTACCTTGACTGTACTTCTGAGTGTCCCAAGTGTTGTTTGGTGTTTTGTTTGTTCTCATTCCATGCTGATTCTTGGACAAGTACTCACCACTCACTCCTGTTGAAAGATCTGGCAAGTGATGTCCAGATAGCCTTATTTATGTCGACTGGCGTGTCACAAGTTTGGACAAGTCTATGCCAGTCAGCACTCGGGCTGATGAGAACTGCTGCTGCTTCGTAGAGGAGCAACTTTGATGCGATGATGTGAGCCCTACAGAATTGAACTCAGAAGAGTGCGATCGCCTCACCATTTAAACAGTATATATATATGTAACACAAACCGTCTCTTGCTTTGTGATTTAGAGTCTTGATCATGCATGTCTTCCTCTGAAAGACAGGAGTTCCTTAAGTTTTCCTAAACATCTAGGAACCAAATCATTAGTGCGAGCGCTTCTTCAAGGAAGCTTGACCCGCCGCTTTTAGGGCGGCGGAGGGAGCTTCCTTGAAGAAGCGTGAGCTATCCTGCATCCATATCTAGTAGCGTCCTTGTAGGTACGAGCTACCTAGCCTACTACTAGCTACCTCTAGCTGACCTACCTCTAGCGGCCTACCCGCCCCCGGGCTAAAAAAAGCTCTAAACTACATCAGTTAGATGTTAGATATCTTTTTGAGGTGAGGCTGCTATTGCCTTCTGCTCGTCCGCAGGATGACTCCTTGTTTGGGCCAGACCACAAGATCATCTATAGGCTTCTGCTCAGATCCTTCCTTGGAGATCAGCTTTTTTGTTCTCAGAGTTTGAGGAGCTGCTTTTGTGTCTTTGATTCCATCGTCTGCAGAATTTGTGGAGGCACTTTGCTACGCTCTATTTCATTTTCGTTGCAGACAGCGCTGAGAGTGAGCTCGGTGTTCTGGATCTAATCCAGGCAATTTGTGTGCCGCGATATGAAGCAAGAGTTATGTAGGACTTACTGCATACTGTATTTCATTACTCCGTTTTCTCACAGCCTGCATTCCAGATAATGCAGACTCGGTGAGTCAAACACGAAAGGGCAGTGTTTGCAAACAAAAGTACAGAGCTTTGGGTAGCAACTTGGCACATAAGCTTAACACCCAACTCAAGGTAAAACTGTTTCTTTTTGGGTTTGACAGGATCACCTTAGAAGTCAGCTTTAGGTGCCCTAAATTTAGCGGTCGAGCCTCAGATCCAGGAGAACATAATCGCAGTTGTTTTTCAGGAAACGTCTTCTAATGCTTCCCAAGAGTGCAAAGGGTCAACGAGTCAAAGGGTTTTCAAAGAGTTTTCAAAACCCAAACCACAGTGTTCTGACTGTTCAGTAGACATCAAAGGGTATTAATGCTGACCAGCCGTTTATTCCTTTATCTCTGATGAGCCAAAGGAGGTTCAAGCAGACACCATGTGTTGAAGAATGTTGAATATTGTTTTGGCAAATGGCTGTGTCATTTAGGGCACAAGCAATGCCAACCTTCGCCAGCGTTTGATCCAGCCAGGTCTTTGTCCAAGTCCTTGACTCGTGCTTCGAGAATGTTTGTGAGCTGGATCTGATACTTGGGCCGTTGAGAACAACCAAGTTAATCAATCAATATTTTGATACAGACAACTCGTTCTTTATGGTTCAAGGTTGACATCCAACGGCCAATCTGCATGGTAGCTAGGTAGCTTGGAACTACGTCGCTGCAGTATGTCTTGTTAAGTCCTTCTGTCAAAGAAAGCTTTTGCGGTTCTTCTGTCATCCTGACCTTATGAAAGTCCAAGGATATATCACTTCGACAGAGTTGGGTTGCCTAGTTGCCACAGAATCTGCCACGTGAGCATCTTAAGCGTCAAAGCGGTATTAATGGTTCGATTGAAGGACTAAAGGGTAAAACAAGGTGCCGGCGTTGTTAACGACCCTGGAGTTTTGAGCAGTTTCCATCACGCATGGAAACCAAGAATCCATGGAAAAGCGCAGGGTTGTGTGTTTCATTCATGCTTTCATGACGTTATTTTCGTTTTGGTTTTGACAGTAAGAGGCCCTGCCAAAATGCTCCAACGCATTGGAAATACGACGTGCAACTGGCTGAATTTAGACCCCCCTCGTCTTTAAGAAGACCAGAACGTTTGTTGAAGATAGAAATCATTGACCCTCGCAGTGTTTTAAGTCAAAATCAACATTTGGAAAAGATGCGCAGCCGACTTCTTTTGACTTCCGCGAAGCAGATGCTGTCAGAACCTACGGCACTGCCGGCCCATTTTTTTTCCAAAGGCTCTTGCCACAGTTTCTTTGAAACTGGTAGCTCTAAGTGGATTGCATCAACAGCGGACGTATGACTTGAGATGTCCCCAGACACGATCCATATGTACGAAGCCTGCCAGCCAGAAAGAAGCAGACAGATTAGTAAAGTGCAACATGGACAGAGTACCCGTTGACATGGGTTTTCCAAAACACTCAACCGTCAATCATATCTTCCAAAAAACAATGATATATTTGAAAGCAGCGTCATGCGTCCGATCATACTCTGGAGTTTGCGGCACACGAGCAGGTGTAGGAGATCTGGATCGCACAGCATCCCTGAAGCCACTATTCTGACACTCGCAAGGCAATTCCACATGGGCAAGTAGTGTTCATGAGGCTAGCCTTCTCTCGGTGCTCGATTTCGAGCTAGCAGCGTCAGCCCTTGCCATGTGGGCAAAACGATTCGAAGAAACGAAAAGAGCAGCCACGACACCACAAGGTACACGTTTAGAATGTAACAAACTGCTATACACCGTGGTCCACGAAGAGTATAACACATCGTGAGAAGTGCCTAGAACCTCGAAAGACAACGTCCAACGATCCGGGTCCAGAGCCGTGTCCAACACAAAACTGTCAAGAGGTCCCGTGTGTCTGGTTGCTAAAGAAATCAAAGAATCCACATAATCAATGTCCACTTCGAACCACCGCTTCAACAGATGATCCGGACAAGGTACCCTAACCAACCGCAACAGAATCACTAAACACAACGACAACACCTCACGAGCTGTGAGCTCCCGCATCCTGAAGCCTAAACAGCTCAGCAACGCAGGGTCCAAGGCAACGGGTAGTGTGTCCGGAATCAACCACAACACGACGCAGTTAGCCCCCCCACCGCCCCCCCCACTGTCAAATAGTCCTTGGAGACAGCAAAAAGGGTCCGGAACGCAGGGGTCACTAATGACGCCGGCAGCTAAAACAACTACAGGGTGGGTGTTGCTGGTCGAGGATATGGATGTGCCAGGCCTTGGCTATCCTTTCAATGTCTCAGGTGAATTACATTCTCGATGAGATTGTGATGGCTGGCATGGTCTTGGAAACAAACGCTGACCTGATCCTAGAAGCCATCAAGGACAATTGCAATGGAACATTTTTTAGAAAGATAATATAGCCAGAGATTGTCGAGATTGTGATGCAGAACCTCCAAACTTTTACTTATGCGCATACCGTCTAGAAACAGTAATATGCATAATATACATAGCTGTTGAAGCTGTTGAATGCTTTTCATGTGAGAAACGCCTTCTTTTACTTGTACGCATTTTATCCTGTCCGGTTGTTTGCAGATCTGCACACCAGTGTGTTCCGTTATATATCCACACTAGGATGACTTGTGACTTGAGAATGTTTCTCACTCCTGAAGCAGTGTCACAAGCTTTGAGGGGCTCAACCGTTATTGATCACTCCTTTTTTGCCGATGGAATTTAAAGCATGTGCAGGAGACCAAGAAATTGGAACAGGAAGGATCAACCTTCGGTTTCTGAGCGGTTGCATTTCTTTGAAGCACAGACCGCTGTTGGTTCGATTTCCGCAGTAAACTGTTTTGCAAACCGCTGCAACAAAGTCTTTCGACCGTGCTCCAAAGAACATTGCAGGGGTGGGAGCGTCCGGGCAACATGCAAGAAGCATTCTCGGCGAAAATCGATGATTGATTTTTGAACCTGTTTCCATAGCTTGAAAGGTTGGGGGAAGCCAATAGAAGACAAGAAGACAGCTGTCCCAATCAAAGCTCGGAGATGGTATGCACTGTGCACCCCTCCTCCTCTACGAAGCCAGCGCAGACAGGTTTGCAATGTCAACGCCCGCTGTGCCCGGCTGTGCCCTGTATCTCAGACTTCTCTCATAGTGACATGTGGGACAAAATCCGGCCACTTCAATGGTTGGCTTCAACGATGATTTGTTCCGAATGAACCCTGCACAAGCTTCCGCACCAAACAAACCGATCCCCCGGCTCCTCCTTGCCACAGTATAGAAGTCGGCAACCAGCAAAGACCTATACGCCCATGTCCAACATGCACTGTTCGGAGAGCACCCGTTTGGTTCTATCGACTGCACTTTACATCTCAGCATGAGCAGCAAGTGCAGAGTGGATTGGGCCACTCGCCATGGTCGCCAATGAATGACTTCGACGACTTCCTCAATGCAGATGAGGATGAGGAAGAACGGCACTTGGCCAAGCCAAAGAGCCAAAAGAAGGGTGGTAGCCCCTCCTACAGGGGTGCTGGACACTATGATGGCCATGTCAACTATGGCTTTGGCCGCCGACAGTCAGATCCCTACAGCTTTGACCTGCCGGATCATTTGCCGGTTCCTAAAGTTAAGAAGGCAGAGAAGATTCCAGGCGTGGCCGCAGGCTAAAGCTTTAAAGCTTTAGACTACATTGCAAGCATTCAACCGACGTAACAAAGACATCCAATATTCATAGTAATCAGTAATCTCGTTTTGGTCCCATGTAACTTGGACCAACCCTGAAACCCTGAAGGCCGCCAGAAGGGTGAGCCAGCCTCTTCTCCATCCGTGCGCAGTGTGGGGCCCGCACGGGAGCGTAGCTCGCTCAAAGGCGGAGTGACGCCCTCAGCAAAGTCTGAGCCCGCGAAGCTGCCGTCACCTTCAGTGCGGTCAGAATCGAGCGAAGCAAGTGTTAGCGAGACTGGGTCACCAGGCCAGATCTCAGACTTTGCCAAGATGAAGGCTGACTTTGACAAGATCTCAGAAGAGCTCAAGAAGCAAGAGGAAGAAAGAGAGAGAAAGAAAAAGGAGGAGGAGGAGCGCAGGAAAGAAGCTGAGGAAGCAAGGAAGAAGGAGGAGGAAAAAAAGAAAGCAGAGGCTGAGGAAGAGAGAAAACGTGAAGCAGCAAAGTTAAAGGAGGAGGAGGAACAAAAAAAACGGGAAGAGGAGGAAGCAAAGCAAAAAGAAGAAGAGAAGAAGAAACGTGAGGAAGAAGAAGCCAGGCAAAGAGAGGAGGAAAGAAAGAAGAAGCGCGAGGAAGAGGAAGCAAAACGTAAAGAGGAGGAGAGAATGAAACGTGAGGAAGAAGAAATCCGACAAAGGGAGGAGGAAAGAAAGAAACGTGAGGAGGAGGAGAAAAGAAAGAAAGGTGAGGAGGAAGCAGTACGGAAAGAAGAGGAAAGAAAGAAATGTGAAGAAGAAGAAGAGGCACAGAGGAGGCAGGAAAATCGAGAAGAAGCAGAGGCAGCAGAGGCAAAGCAACAAGAACACGCACGCAAGAAGAAAGAAGAGAAAGAGGCAGAAGCAGCACGATTGGAAGAGGAGAGACAAAATCAGTTGAAGCAGGCGCTTATGCAGAGGGAAGAGATGAACCAGAATCACGAAACCAAGGAAGAAGACTAACTACATGGTGTTATATGAAGGAAGCATCTACTTATCTACTTGTATCAAACCAAAGAAATGTCAACAGAGTAGAAAGACTGGTGACCACTGGTGACCCTGCACTAGGTACAGGAGATGTTGATATGGCCTTCAGGTAGAACTTGACAAGTTTATCAGGAAAAGACACTCTATCAACACAATATGCCGTAGTAGCGCTATATGCCGTGATGTGGCGCTCGGTGTGATGTGGCTTGCTGCCAAAAACACAACTCTGGGGGGTGCTTAAGCTCGATGAGACAACAAATGTGGCTCTCTCTATATATATAATATGCTTAGACAAGTTCTTTCTGATGCACTGCTATAATTTATCTTGGAACAACTCACATGGAAATAGGACTGAATAATAATTTGTATCCATGTATATATATATTTATACACGATAAATGTTTCTTTGATTCGTTGACATGTTTTGGCCAGCAAGCAGCCAAACAGCATGGACCTTCTTGTTCTATGTTTGTTCCATTTGTTTTTCACAATGTTCCATGCTGCACCAAGCCGTGAGTTGTTGCAGGATGCCCTGAGCTCGCAGAATTTGCAGGTGCGCGAGTTGCGCGAGGCAAAGATGAGACAAGAGGAGTTGAAAAGAGAAGCGCAGGAACAACGCAGTGAATGGTATAAACTTTATATATATATATATACATACATGCTTCTACTTGTTTGTTTGACACCGCAGCACTCGGTTAGGGTTAGATATTTTTTAAAAGGGACGGACATGATTTTTTGCTTAAACCATACTTGCAGAGAATTTGATGGGTCAAAACTGCCCAGGACCAGATGTCAGCAGCAGCTCACCAGGTGGCAGAGGCAAACAGTGCCTTGGCATTCTCTGAGTTTTTTCCACAAAACTGCTTTTGCAGGTTGCGACTGGCTTTTTTTTGTGTTTCTTGGAACGGTGACATTTTTTGACTCACCTTCTTCTGCATGAGGCGAACAGGCAATTCTATCGCTGCGTGTGGCCTCGCTGATGCAGGAGCTGGCTTGCGTTCGCGAGGAACGAGACACTCTGAAGGAGGACCTGGGGACCATCTCCAGGCTCAAGCAGGAAGAAGTGGCTGATAGGCAACTACAAGTTGCGGCCGAGGCAAAGGGTTGTATTCTCTTTGCCATTTTCCTAGACAGTGACCTTGATCAGATTTTGGCCTCAAAGGCAGATCCTTGATACATTGCCTAAATGATCCTATATGATTTTGATGTAATTGAGGTACCCAGTAGGCCTTATTGGTTCAAGCCCAACAGCCTAGTCCAATTGTTGAGGCAGACGCAAACCCTGCCAGCATGCGCCGCGTTGCTGAGCTTGAGCTTGAGCTGGCGTCTGCAAAGGAGTGTGCTGACGAAGTTTGCCGGGAATTGGAATGCTGCCGAGAGGCCAAGCGACAGCTCGAACGAGAAATCATTGCCAGACCTCGAGCCGAAGCGGAGATCCACCCAGAGCTTCAGCAAGCGGAGGCCAAGTGTGCGTTGGCACAATCTGAGCTTGCAGGTATGCAAGAAAAAATGCGATACTACGCACAAAGCCAGCAAGAAATGGAAGAAGATCGTCGCCAAGTTGTCCATTTGGCCGAGGAGCTTCGCTCTGCAAAGAGCGAAATGGCAACTTGCCAGCAAGAAGATCTCAGAGCATCATTGTTCCCCAAACAGCTTTGCTGGGAGGGGTTCTCAATTCTTGCATAGAAACGATGCTGGGCCAAGATGATTCCCGCCTTTTGTCTCCCATTGCCTCCCCTTGTCTCCCATGGCGTGTCTGGATGCTGGGCTGAGATGATTTTGCTTTGTCTTCCTTTGTCTCCCCCTGTCTCCCATGGCATGTCTGGATGCTGGGCTGAGATGATTTTGCTTTGTCTCCCTTTGT